TGTTGATTACAAAATACATATTAAAACTGGCAGGAATATGTGGATTCTGTAATGTTAATAATGTACATAACATCAAACTAACTTGTGAGTGTCATGAAGCCATAAAATTGAAGTACAAAATACTCGCTCGCCATGTCATAATTGTCCTTAGGGTTTCCAAGCACTATACATGACACATGAATGGCAAGCACTGACGTAAAGTGCTGACTGCGCGTTCTGATAAAGCCAACTACATAAGCACGGCTAGGGTGTATCACCGCACTCAAGGACAAACATAGATAAGACCTCTCAGCTGATAGGTACAGTGCGTGGACCTGCCAGAAGACCACACTTTTCTTGGGCCATTATCTCTGTAACCGTTCAACTTTGGACATAGGTATTTTGGGTTATATCGGCATACTTTAACATAAGGAACACCCTCCCGAAGTTTGGTCCATTCCTCCTGGGACACCCTGTATATATATATATAAATATTCAAGAAGTTCAGTACTGTGTTTACAAAACCCAGTCACTGCTCCCTACCCTGAGTCAGGCAAACAAAGTCCACACCCTCCCATCCTACTTCTTTATGATCCATTTTAATATTAACCTCCCATCTACGTTTGGGTATTTCAATTGGTCTCTTTTGTCAAGCATTCCTGCAAAAACTCTGTAGGCACTATCCTCTTCCGTTCCCAAAATGTCCACTGGCTTCACATCACACATTCTTTAGATTATCTGCATTTATTTGGCTCAGATTCTACAACCATTTCAATTTAGTCTGTTTCCTTCAATCTAACAGTTCCAAACATACTGTCAGGTCATGCAGCGTCAGTTCAAGATGTCCGCTCTCTTCAGTTGACATTTTGACTATCTCCCTAACGGTATACCAAAGCCTGCTGATGTCAACACCAACAGCTATGCTTTCCAAATTGCAAACTTTTTTGAGATTTTAACCTGATATTGTTCTTTACCTTCCACTTACCTTCTAGAGATTGAATCTCCCCATATCAGAATTCTGTGTTGTACAATGACTTAATGAAACTACTTTGGACACGTAGTAAAGAATAACAGTGGCATGCACACAGGAAGACTACACAGGATAACACCTATACAGTGTGGAAACAAGAACTAGCCGCTGCAGCACTTTAGACATAGGGCGAGAAACCCTAACAATTTTAAATTTAAAATTTAGAGAAAAATTATAAAGGATTTTAAAATTAGAACTAAAGATTTTATAGTGCTACTATAGGAACGTCAAAATTAACGTGTGTAAAATAATCTACAAACCAGACAGACATCAATGAAGTAGATGTTGATAATAACAAGGAAAGTGTTTTATATGTTAAATTTTGGGCTGGGTGCAGTGTGACAGCAACGTGAGTGTTATACACCCGATGATGGCCGTCTGAGGCCGAAACATGTAGTGTAGAGGAGCAAGATCAAGGACACATAATATATTGTTTGCACTTGGGACGGAATTTATATCATTATATCATTTAGGGTATAAGGTAGTGCACATTAGTAGAACTCATTACTAAATTATGTTACTTATGTACTTAAAAAAATACTAATCAATTCTGTACACTTACTCCTTCTGGTTTTGTTACTATCAAATGGGTGCAATGCTTGTTCAGGCTCAGTTGACAATGCCCACCATTGAATGTTATCATAGCCCATAACGCTTCAGAATCAGCTTTCGTGGTTCGTGAAAGACATGCAATTATCCCTGTGAAAAGCTGGTCACTGTCAGGCAAGAAACCTTTAGTACTGATTACAGAGTTATGGAAATATATCTGTAACATAACCAATTTAACCACAAGCAATAACAATCAAAATAAGAATCATGATCGTCATACATAAAAAAGAAGCTGTTACAAAGGATACGGCAACAATCTTTTACATTTAACGGAGTAAAGGACCCACTTCTGAGTAACTGCTGGGACTTCATACAGTTCCTTGGCATCACAAATATCACTTTCAGATGCATCATCTCCAATAATGCAGTGCGTCACAAAGTCTGAGAAGTAATTCATCCGTTCTCCTCCTCCCTCTTGAAGAATGCTTAAGACCTAACATGCAAAGATTGTAATTTACTCTAATTAAAGATATGCCAACATAATATTCTTATTTGTCTTAATATTTCCTCTTCATTCCTTCTATCACTGCGCCTACAAAACTTGCGGAGAACAAAATTTAACACAGTTAGTAATCAAAAGCACAAAATAACTAAAAATTAGGCAATAGTGTACGTATAATGTGTTTTAAACTAAAGATATACGCCGTTTATATTCACCTTTTCATGTGCCTTCCCACTAACATAAAACTTAACATTTCGAAATAAAGGCTCGTTTAATTTTAATTCCTGCACTGCGTCCAACACTTCACTCATCTTACAAAGTACAATGGTAACAAACCAAAAATTTCATAGCATGTGCAATGCAATGTAAATGTAAACGCATTATCCGGTAATAACTTTTTTTTATTCTACATCATCTAAAACAAATTCCCTCGGTTCTTCGTTGCCGTTCATTGAAGTATGATATGATTGGTGTACAGGTATCCCGCAACCACAAGGTAACCAACATATATATAACAAATGTCTTCACTAAGTTGAAAGCTCTGGGAAATATATAAGCATTATATTAAAATAAACAAAAGCACATAATGTCCGCAATGTTTGGGGTTAATATTCTTTACCCAGTAATAACTAAAAACCAAACTATTTGAAAGGTCAATTTTCCTTTTATTATGTCACTGAATAAGCCCGCTTCCAAAGTACAGTAATACGGGCTGTCCGTTGCCGTGACGGCCGTGTAGGAATACACACAGCGACATCGGTCGTACGATGTCCGTACGGTTCATTTCGCATCAAGTAGTAGAATATAAAGTGTAGTCTTAGGATTCACACGTGACGACATGCGACATCTACCGTACGACAGTCGCAAGGCAAAGAAATGTATTTGGTCGCTCTAGTGTGAAAAGGAGGTCTTACGGCAAGAAAAATCGTACTACCGATTGCTACCGATATCGCTGTGTATGTGTGTTCCTCTGCACGTTCACACACAGCGACATCTGCCGTACGACGTCCGTCCGGTTCATGTCGCTTCAAGTATTAGAATATAAAGTGTTAATCTTAGCTTTCATACGTGACATGCGACATCTACCGTACGACAGTCGGGTCGCAGCATTAGTGGGTGATGGAATCCAGCTCTGTGGTTCACATTACGCGGCTTCATCCGTATGAACCCTCGACCGTCTGTTTCGCGTTATTGCATTAGTTCTTATCGTATTGTTGCGAAATTGGAGGAAAAAAATGAGTGGCATTGATGTTAACAAGAAATTGTTAATAGCGTTGATTGAAGAAAGGCCAGTATTATGGGATAAAAGTGATGATACATACAAAGACAGAAATACTACGAAGGAAGCTTGGAATGAAGTTTGTTTGGGGTTGAAAGAAGATTTCAAAACATTGAAAGACTCAGAAAGAAATGTATTTGGTAAATAGGTATACTTATTACTTTCACAGTATATCTGTTATTTAGGGCCGCGCCATAGCTCAAGCGGTTAGTCACTGGCTTCCCACCGCGGCGGCCCGGGTTCGATCCCGGGGTCTGGTGGAGTGGGATTTGTGGTGGACAAAGTGGTGCTGGGGCAGGTTTTCTCCGAGTACTTCGGTTCCCCTGCCAATCTTCATTCCACCAATTGCTCTACAATCACCCTCACCCATCATCTGGAGCTGGTACAACAGGCCAGAAGTGGCCACAGTACAAGGGACTTAGTCCCACCCCACTAGCATTAAAAAAAAAATCTGTATTTGTTGAACAAAATTATAATGAAGATATGAAACTAAGGGAACGAATTTAGTGTATGTAGCTGAATGTCATATTTTTAACAGGTGCCAGGGAACTGCTCCAACATCCTCGAAATATCCAGAAAATATATGTCTTGTATGGTTCGCCGAACATCCACCACCCATCTCACTCTCTGGTGTCAAGTCATCCAATGTTGATATCTTTGTGGTAGCCTCTACTGAAGTTTCTTCGATCGGTAATGCATCTGTCCCTTATGAAATTATGTAAGACCACACAAGCCTTCACAATGTCAGCTCCTAAATCTGGCTCAACATTAATCGCTGTGTAAGATATGCCACGTGTTACTCAAAATTCCAAACTGGCATTCAAGAAACCTATGAGATCTACTCAGGCGATAGTTGAAAATTTTTTTGGTCACTTAGCTGTGACACACCAAAAGGCCACGATAAGTGCTTATGTAGTGCAAAAGCCTCATCTCCCACCAAGACAAATGGTACAGCTGGACCCTCCATCCCTGGTAAACTCTTCTGTTCGGGTAGATCATGAGTGCCTGTAAGAATTGATTTCCACAATGCAGAGCACTTAAAAATAGTGGAATCGCAGTCTTTCCCATAGCTCCCAATGTTTACATGTACAAAGCGGAAGTTGCAGTCGGCAACTGCCATCAATATAACTGAAAAATAATCTTTATAATTCCAGTACATGGAGCCACTATTATTGGGACATATTATTCAAATGTGCTTTCCATCTACCGCTCCAATGCAGTTGGGGAAATTGCCATTTCTTTCGAAACCAGAAGCGACAGATTTCCATTTTTCCTTGGTAGGTACAGGAATGCATTCCGATGGCATGACAAACCACATGGCTCTGCATTCATCTCAGACAATGGTCCTTGCAGTTGAAACTCCAATTCTGTATGTGTAATGTAGGTCAGGAAAACTGCAGCCAGTGGCAAGGTACCTGAAAAAAAGAGAATAGTTCTTATTTAGTGTGGATACTTCTTTGTCTCTTTAGTTGGTTATTCAATAGTAAAACACTTCATCCAATTCCTTTCATTTATGTAATTCATCTTTTCTTAATTAATTTTAATTTTATTTTACTTGAATTTCATTACAGTAAAAGAAGTTATAAAAATATGGAGAAACATCAGAGACGCTTATGCTAGAACTTGTAGAAAAAGAAATGAAGACAAAACGAGCGGAGCTGGGGCATTCTTTACAAGGAAATACTTGTATGCTGAACAATTGCAGTTCTTGTATAACCTGGATTGTGAGCGCAAAACACCAGACAGCCTAGACAGTGACAAAACCCCTGAGGAAAACTCCGATTTACCACCTACTGACCAGGAACCCTCCGGATTAGAAACAAATGATCAGGAAGCTGCATGTTTTAAAAAGCCATCTCCCAGAATGGAGAAAAAAAAATGTCGCTATCGTGAACCAGATCAGGTAGAAATGAGAATTTTGGCAGCACTAGAAAATGAAAAACCAAACAGGCACTTGTCTTTCTTTAAAGGTGTTATTCCTTCCCTTGAAAAATTTGACGATGATGAGATCATAGAATTTCAGATGGGAGTGTTGCAACTTGTGAGCAACATCAAACGACGCAAGCGAATGAACACCTCCCAATGTGGCTCAATGTCCACGTGTGAAGGGAGACACTGGGACCTACAGCAACCGTATCTACAGGAGAATTTCAGAAGAGTGACAACACCATCACAACAGCGTGCATCCCAGTACTATCAGAATTTCAGCAGCCAACTTACTCAATTAACTCCTGCTTCCTACACTGAAAGTTGTCCATCCCCTGCGTCATCTACTTGTTCCAACTCAAACAGCACTTCGGATTCATTTGATTTCTGCTCACAATAACTTGCAGACAAGACACTTTTTATTTGGTACTTTTATAACTTATTTTCCAACATTTGCAGATGTCATTCTTTGTAATCAGTACTTTTTTAAAATTTGTAAAATAAACATTATTTCCACGTCTCAAAAGAATTTAATTTAACTTACCTTATTGCAACAGCAAGCATCTGTACAGGTGGAATACAGTTCAGTTTGGTATTTTGGCGTCGGTGTTCTCCAGTTCATCAAAAGATGAAGCAGACATTTGAAAATACAGTAAAACTTGGTTATAGCAACATCGGTTTCTGCGACACCTTGTCTATTGCGTCAAATATTCAATGGTACAAACTAATTCCTCATAAAGCAACTGTTTTTATACCTTGCTTAGTACGACATGCACAAATGCATCAACCTCGTATGTAACGTCATTTTCATTCCTGAATTTCTCTGATATCGTGGGAAAGTTCGATGTGTCTGCCCACCCTCACTTTCTCTACTTGCTGACGTGACTGTCCTGGAAGAATACGACCGCGGGCTGCAAGAGGAGTGTGGGTTTTATGCAAAAACAAGGGTGTGGGGTGGGACTGCGTGAATAGTGCAAGAGGACGCGGCAGGTTGTTAACTGCATTCCTTTCCTAGAATCTTGTCTAACAGGACCTCACATTGTCTACTTACCCTATAGTGTTCCTGCCTAAACCCAGAGAAGTGCAGTAGCGAAAACATGGCAATGAAAAGGAAAGTTTTAAGCATTGAAGAGAAAGTTGAAGTGATTCATGAAATAGAAAATGGAAGGAAAAAAGCTGATGTATGCCGCGAATTTGGTTTGGTGAATTCTACAGTACAAACGATATGGAGAATCCATATTAATTCCACGTTAATGTTACGTTAGTCTGTAC